GATATGGGTTAGATGTGAGAACTGTTGGAGCCATATCCTCTACGTAATAAAAAAAATGGCATAAACGTTTTGTACGGATTTAGTATAGTATACGTTATATTCAAAGTATAATATAATCAATCAATCATGATTTGTTTACAAGAATTATAAATAATGTCAACAAACCTTGACGCACTGACCAACTGTCGATTGAGATTTCTGGCAAACATTGTTGACAGCAATCATTCATATTTACATCAAACGCTGCATAACAGTGACCGTTTATATTGCAAGAATTATTCTGAAAGAAAATATTTGTCAAAAATGTATGTCTTTTAGTTTGAGCATGTGTTTATACATTGTCGCCTTTGAAACGCACTAGGTATAATGTAATAACCTTAGTACTACATAGTTGCTTGTAGATTGTCGTTTCTTTTAGAAACAGTCCGTTAGGGCCGAATGCGCTGGAAGCTGACGAGAGTGGTTTAGTCAAGGATTACTGTGGGTAGAAAACAGCGATTTTTAAAGTGTTAGGGGAGGAAATATCTAGACCTACTGTTGTTTCATCTACAGCATTGAAACCCCTGACAGTGAATTATAACGTACCTTCATGTTGCATTCACCTTCTGATGCATTGCATACTTGACAAACAGAATCATACACAATCATTATAACCATATCTTCACTTTTCAACTCCCCATCATTACTGATCGATATTAGATAACCGCTTGAAACTATTCCTTCTCCTGGTAAACTTGGTTGAACAGCTGGTTCGGGCAAAGGACATTTGACTTCTTGAGGTGTCCTAAATATACCAGCTACAGTAAATATTGTTGGTAGCACTGTAATGCCATCAGCACTTACCTTCATGGAGAAAAAAACATTTAGGATATTATTTTTTAAAAAGCTATGTTTATTCTAAAATGTATGTTTCTGTATCCTGATCTGAAAAATAAATATAACTTAGAATGTAATTTTACAATTTTAGAATAGTGATATATAAAAAATGATGTAGGCCTGTAGTCATTTGATTATTTATAGTCAATGTATTATCAGTTTAAATAGCTAATTCAATATTTAGATTTTAAAACTAAAAATAGTATTAATTTTTGTTAAATTTTCAGTTGTTTTATAAAAATTAAATTTCAATTTAAGAAATATAGTACTGCATGCACACAGTTGATCATAAATTATATCAAGATATACATTGATATATTTTCGTTTATTCACATATTCAT